GAAAAATCTACTTATTTTCGACATGCGTCACTTATTTGTTAATTTTGAAACCCCCAATATTTGATCGAAAAGGAGCTTTCATAATTTGCATATCTAAAGTTATTAGTCATTTGCAAAGATTCAGAAACCAATATTCAAATCAAAGTATTTTTTATCAAATAGGACTAGAGAAATTTCGAATTTATTCGAATATCTTGTTTGGAACCCCTCTTAGCACGGAAATGTTAAATTTATATCTAGATATCTAATAGTAAATTGATTGTAAAAGATTTTAACGATACATGTTCTTTAAATTATTCAAGTAATCATTTATTTATAATATTTTGCATCAATTTTATATTTTAATACAGTAACTAAAAGAATCTTTATAATAAATCCCATAAAATTTTAACATTTTAATTATCCATAAAACTATTGTTATATATCTTGTAAAAAAAAGTAGTTGGTGTTAAATGTTCAGTCATTATTATTATAGTGTACACCGAAAAAATTATTCAAAATTATTCAAAATTATTCAAAATTTCATTAACATCCCATAAAATGTCTATTTATTAATCCTTTCTCCACTAAAAAATTATCATAAAGGATAATTTAATATAATGAATGAATATCAAACAACTTGAAAGATAAAAAAAAAAGCTTACGTCAAGGTTTGAATCAGGAGGGTGTTCGTCCGATCCAACAGGTGATTTTTGTCGTTCGTCCAACCTTTTGCTTAGCTTTCCGCCACCCTTTTGAACTCCTCGGTTTTGTGCCTTAAAAAAAAAAACAAATAAATAAATACATAAATAAAAATAAAATAAAATTTAATCGTATAATTTCAATCATAATAAGTTTATTACTATGAATCATTATTGAACAAAAATATAGCACTTACTTGTTGAGCTCTTTTTTCAGCGGCTTCGGCTGTTGCTGACCTGGATGAACTATCAGTGCCTTTCATTGAAGTATCTGTTGCATCTGTTGCATCGGTTGCATCGGTGGTTCCAAGTTTATAACCTCTTTCTTTTTGTCTACCTTTAAAACAATCACTTAAAGTCTCAAGGCAGTTACCCATTTGTTATGCAAAATATGATGTGGAAAAAAATTTATAGCGCCTTATTTCTAAATGACCCTTATATAAATTTATATTTCATATCGTTACATAATTACCCTGGTGACCAATACATTAACTATTTTAAGGTGTCGGTGTAGTTTCCACCTTAATTAAGTAATGATCTGCCAATTCAATTTTTTAAAATTAGCAGCGGATTATAAAAAAACAACCACAACTAAAAAATTTGATTGTAGCATGTTAAATATTTTGATAAATTTATAAGTAAATTTGCCAAATGAATCCATAGATTTAGCTATATAAATAAAAAAAAAATTTTTGTTGCGGTCCACAAATTCTACAACAATTTTTAATATTAACGGAGGCAAAAAAATGGATATTATTTCGACAACAGCAGGGTTTGAACCTGCGCTCCCAATGGGAATCAGATTTCAAGTCTGACGCCTTAACCACTCGGCCATGTTGTCCAACGAACACTTAATAAAGAAATTTTTATTTAATTTAATAACTTTAAAATAATTAATAACGTAACGTTTCTTAATATCCTTTTCAAAAAAGCTCAAATTAATACATAATAAGTTTAACATTAAAACAAATAAGACAAACTTATTAACATGAATACAAAATTACAAAATTAATCTTTACGAGCTTGATTTTTTATAATATACTATCGCTATGTATTTGACAACACTTAATAAACCAAGATTTCAAAAACAATGACAACAAATGTCCAAATTCTGATAAACACCTTGCTATTAATGATATAACTAGATCCAAAATATTTTGAAGATGATTCAGAGATTCTATGATTTGTATCACTTTTCGCTATACTTATCCTATTATTATACATTTTATTTTTATAAGCAACTGTTTCGAATCTGTATCCTTTTTCTTCAAATGCTTCGACAATCTTTGGCACAACATCAACACTATATCTATAACGATCATGTTGTAGAATTTCCATCTTCGTAGGATTCGGTTTCGTAACGCCAATCAGCAGAATCCATATTCCATTGAATTACTGTTAAGTTCAGAGACTTCATTAGTTTACCACACTGATCATTGCATTCTCCAAATGGTGGTCTATTTATTTAGAAAAAAAATAGATTTATTATTTAAACTTGTGAAATGAGGCTTGGAAAAATAAAATTTATTATATATACCTCATATAATTCGGAATTACATATTGTTTCATTAGCTTTACCAATTTCTTCTTTTTGTTATTCGTACGTCAAATCATTCAGATGTGGATGTGATGTCCTTCGTTTAATATTTTTTTTAATACTTCTGGATATTCTTCTATTGAAATTCCTACTACAAAAAATGTTGCTTTTATTTGTTTGGATGACAAATAATCAAGTAAAATGTTTGTATATGGTCCTGGTCCATCATCAAATGTTAACGCAACAACACCAGGTTTAGAACAGGTGGTTATAAAGTCTGGTCCACTTTCTTGTGTTAATGTTGACGGTGGTAGTGATAAATAATGTATAAAAACGATTAATAAACAAAATTTTGATTTGATTTGCATTTTTCTTTTTAAATCAGTGATTATTCGTTATTAAAACAAAATTCAACTTAAAAAAAACTTTTAAATTATAGTTCTATATATACTTTTCGA